TACTACTGCTACTAGGACGACGACGACGACTGCTGCTGCCACTGTTTTCTACTGCTTTCACGAGAAATGATAGAGGGGGGGGGTTCTCTAAATTGTTGGTCCCTTTTGGGGGATCCTTTTTACACGGGTGCCGTACTATATTGTGGACCTTAAAGGGGACCCGAATTCAGAGGACTACCCATATAGCACCCCTATACAAACCCCATAGAAACTCCTACAGATCCCGTCAAGGAACTCTAAAAAGGAACCCTAATTTAGAGAACTATAGATCCCTTTAAGGAACCTTAAAAATGGCCGGCAATTTCGAAAACTATCCATATACATGGAAAACTGGGGGGCTTCGGTCTCTGGGGACTCTGGTGATTCCGGGGACTTTATGAGCTATAAGGTTTAGAGCTTCTTCAGGGTTTAGGGTCTAGGGTTGCGGATTTAGGGTTTTGGGGTTTAGGGTTTAGGGGTTTATGGCGAGGTTTTTTGTGGCTTTTGTCGAAGGTCCTGGGCTTAACCCAGAGTTCAGCTTGCAAAGCCCGAACCCCTTCAGACAAGGTCCGGGCGAGACTCTTGCCTCGTGCGGGTAGGCCGAGTGTAGCGGGGTTTCGGAACCCTAAACCCTAAACTCTAAACCCTAAACCCGTCTAGGGTATCGCACTCAGGAAGGGCTACACCCAGGGGCCCATTGACTTTAAGATGACTGAAGGTTTCGGGCTTGTAGGATTTTGGGGTTTAGGGGAACAAGGGTTTCGGGTTTAGGGGTTTAGGGTTTAGGGTATCCGACTCTGGCTTAAAGGAGCTTGCAGCTTGGGGACTGATGGGGCATCTGGGTGTTTGGGGTTTCTTTAGAGCTCTGTCGTGCGAAAGCAAAGGATGTACATGGGGCTTCTAAGTGCAGGCTTAGGGGGCCTCAAGAGTGGTGTTGGGGCTTGCGAGTTTCAATCTGTGACAGCGATAGCGCATGGCTTCTCACTTTAACCCTAACCCTCAAAGGACTCATATTTCAAGGCTTTTGGGCCCAAAGACCCTATTATATGAGGCTTCTGGGCTATTTTGATGCTAAGGGTAATATTGCGATACCCACGACCCAAACCGCCTTGGCTGTGAGTGTCATGCTCCCATTATACTACAGTTATAATAAGGAACCCCCACAATAGTATGGGTAATTATTTAGGCCCTTGGTCACGGCAGTCTCTGGAGAATCGGGATCTGTGTAGTCTACCTCCAAGCCTCAACCTTCATCTCCACAGCTTCGCCCTGATTGCATCCGTCACCATCAGAGGGTACAGGGATGGCGAATGACTTTCGAAATAATTGAGCGCGGGGCAAAGAACTGTAAACTAAGCCTCAACTAGACCTGGACCCCAAAAACAACTAATGTAGGGGCCTTTATAATTAGAACAGGGTTTTGGGGCCCATTATACTATAGATATAATATGGAACCCCCAAAATACTATAGGTAATTATTACGGCCTCTATACCGGTTTGTTAAGCATAAGGAACTCCAAAGAGGAAGGTCTTGAATCCGGAAGCAGGCTGAATTGCACCTGCGGCAGCAAGCACCCCTTGTCTGACACTCGTGTCCCCAAGACCACCAGAGCTAACAGCCTGCTCTCGCGACGTGTTCCTCCTCATGTGTGGTAAAGCACTCACTTGGGCGAGAACGGAAACTCCAACTCTCAATGCGAACCTCAAACTGGTTTAGGGTTTAAAACCCTAAACCCTAAACCCTAAACCCTACACCCCCAAACCCTGTGTCCAATGTGCATCCGCCTCGCCAGGCATCGAAGTCAAAGACGCTCCGTGCTGCTTGCTATCGAAGGGCCGGACCTTTTGCGCACGGCCAGCAAAAGTACGGGGTGTAGGGTTTAGGGTTTAGGGGTTTAGGGTTTAGGGGTTGAAGGTTTAGGGTTTAGAGTTTTGACAAAGCTCTACAAGCTCGCCCTGAGGGGCAAAGTACCTGATAAGCATCTGCTCCTCAAAACACGAACCTACAAAACGACTATCCGATTATCCCAGATCCAGGTACTTGATTATTGGGTTCTTTCGATCCTTCCGCTTGCCATTGCAATGACGCCTACTTCAGCTTCTATAACCTAGGGCAGGCTTGTGAGCGTGTCAACAAGCTTTACTGTAGGGTCGCCGGGCTGCGAGGGAGTCAGATCTCGCTGGAAGTTGCAGAGGGCTTTGCAAGAGGTGTAGGTCCTAAAAATAGTACGGCACCCTTATAACCAAAAGGACCCTTAAAGGGACCCAAATTCAGGGAACTGCACAGATAGTGACTTGCTAGGTTGGAGGCTCTGATCGTCCTTTGCTGGCTTCTTACAGAGGGCTCGGACACGTGTCCGCGCATTGAAAGATCCGAGATTCAGGGTTTGGGTGCCTAGGCGTTCAGCCTCGAAACCCCTAAACTCCTAAAACCCTAAATCTTAAAAACCCTAAACCC